CTACAGAGACAAGGAGGCTCCAAGAGGGTAACAAGACCAGAGCCAAACAACCTGGGAGGACACGGTATACTGATCTTAGAACTGAGTCTGCGCAGAAATAAAGGTCAACCAGTGGGCACTGTGATGAGGAGTATAAGCCTTCATCTTGAGACCCCCAAAGACCACCCGAGAACGCTAACAGACATGCATGAAAGGCATCAGCATGTGCTAATTAGTTCTTGGAAAAGTTGTAACTATGCTAAGCATTTCTCAGAAGTATAATGAACATGTATATTGTGATTGTATTTAACCTGAAATGACAGGGTGTTTGGCGTGCACGTTTGGAGGAGAGATCCCCTGTGTGCCTGGCGCCTTAATAAAGAATACCTGCGTGATAATCTTCTGACTATAGAGTCTTCAACTCCGTTTTTTCACGGCATCATTTCTGGCACCCCAGATGGGACCCACTCAGCTGCAGGACCCGCTGAGAACAGGACTCTCCAGGGTACCCCCAGGATCTCCCGGAGGGACTCCTCACCTTGATTGGATCACTACGGGAGCAGGCAAGGACCATAATAAGGAGTAAAGGCGCTCTTTTTTCCCCCCCCCCTTTCCTTCCTTTCTCTGTTTTGAAATCTGAGACCAGTGATTTGGAGAGTTCTTCTAAGTGGTAGGAAACGTCCTGCGCTGAGCCCTGCATACCCAGCTACTAGTGCCTGAGGGTATACATTTTTTTGGTACATTGGTACGGGCACGTGTTAAGCTTTGTACTTCTGTAATAATGTACGTTTGGTATTTGTATTTTGGTATATTGGTATGGGCACAGGTTAAGCTTTGTGCTTCTGTAATAAGGTACTTTTGGTATTGGTACACTTAGGTAACCCACTTTAGTTGTACTGCTGGCAATACGGATTTGTTGGTACTGAAAGCGGAGATCTCATTTCAGCTGAAATGGGAGACCATGAACGACCTCTGCCCTGAGGAACGCAGGCTGGGGAGCAGGGTTTACAAACACTCCAAGGCGGCAACGGCTGCTGGAGCGAGGGCCCTGGGCGTGCACGTTTGGTTTGCAGAACGGGGTTCAGGTAACAACAAAAGCCAGACAGCGCAGGAAAAGGCCGCCTTAGGACCTCAATGATGGAAAACGCGACGGCAGCAGAGCTCTGGCAGACCCAGCGAGCGCAGAGCGTCTTCAACGGCCAGCGCAGAGCCGCTGACGCGGCAGGCGACGCAAAGCCAAAGCGGCAAACAGCCGGCATGGAAGGGAAGCGCAAGGGGACGAGAACCGCCCCGGGGCTGACGGCCAGCCTTCCGGAAGAGCAGCCAGCCTCAACGCCGGGCCACGGGCACTGCGCGG